CGCGCCTGCCGGCTGGTAGGCCCCCCGCCGCGAGGTCGGAGCCGTCCACCTGGTCGCAGGTGGCTGGAAATTCGATGGCGAAGCCCAGAAGGTCAGAAGGTCGCGGACGTGGGTGGCCGCAGGGCCCTTCGCGCGCCCGCTCTCGAGCACCCACCTGGCCTGGCGGCCAAGGGGGGCGCCCCCGTGCTCGACGGTGTATTCGCACATCCACGTAAAACTCCTGTCGCCGGTCAGCGCCTGTCTGTTTCATCTGGCCCGCGGCGCCTCGCACGCAAGAGTGTCTGCGGCCCTCTCTTGCGCGAGCGGGGGCCTGGAGGAACCGGGCGTCGGCGTCGGCGGCCTCATCTCGCAGATGGTCCGGCAGAGGGGACGGCAATTCACATCCCCATCGGGATCTCATAGCCTGAGCCCGACAGCCCCGTCGAGACCCACGCGACGCCGCCCGCGCGTGGCACGACCTCGTCTAGTCGATGGCGCTCACCTGGGACGGTGTCGGCCAGGTGCCGCGCCAGCCCGGGCGGCGCCCCCGCCCTGCACTGCAGCGCGTGGGCCCCAGGGCGCGAGAGAAGAGGCTCGGCTGTGCGCCCGACTGCCCGGCGTCGGTTTCGTCGCCACGTCAATCAATGAGCGGGGACCGACCGTCCTGGCATTCCTATGGGCCTACCACGACATGCTCTTACAACGCAAGAGCGTTCTAAGAACACAAACCAATGCCAGAAACATAACAAACAGCCGATGCACTATAACAAAACAACATCAGCCGAAAAGACTCCAAGGAAATGTCGCGCGAACCACCGAAGGCTCTCAGAACGTTCGCTGCGGGCCTAGAAGCAAGCTGGGACGCTTCGCTAGCGCTCGGAATCATGCATGGCGGCGCGAGGGTCTGCGGCAAGGGCGGGCCAGAGCCGTGCCGCGGCGGCGCCGCGGCGCGGACCGGCGGCCCCGCAGGCGGGCCGCCAGGGGCGCCACGGGCCGCGCTGGGAGCAGGAGCCCCACATGCACTGTTTTGAAGCTATAAGAAACGCTTCGTCGGGCGCCGGCGGCTGGGGCGCAGGCGGCCGCCGGGGCCCCGCCCGCGACGGCCGCCCGCGGGGCCTTCCCCGTCCTCCGCCGGCAGAAGCCAGGGGCACTGCCAGGTAAGGGCGAAGCAGGGGGGAGTGTCCGCGTCGAGCTCAGCGCGCTGATCAAATCTTCCAACTTCGCGGCACTCGCGAACACGATGCACGGGGCCCGCGGACGGACTGGGACGTGGCCAGAAGTGAACGACGCCTGGGCGGGCACATCTTCATCGCTGCCCGCGGCCAGCTCTTGATCGTGCACGTTAGCGTCCGGTGTGAGGATGCGCCAACATGTGGCGGAACGACTATCGCCCACCAGCCACAGTGCCACTCGTTCGTGCCAAATGCCGACGTGGTCGACGTCGTCCGAGTAGCGAACAGTGACGACTCGGCCTGGCAACAACACCTTGAAGAACTCCGCCGCCTCGGCGGCGCTCCACTCCGCTCAGTGCAACTTCAAGTCCGCCCCCAAACAACAGTGCCAGCGCCATCGCGACGGCGGCGCAATGAAAGAGGGCGACCAGCTGGGCGCAGCTGACCGGCCGCAGCAATCTGAAGAACTGGGCGAAGTTGGTGCCCGAACGGGCGGTCTGGGCGCTGACGCCCTCGCGGGCCGCGACGAGCTGGGCCGACAGGTCGGCGAGGCTCACGCGCAGCCGAGCGGCCTCGGCGTGGCACGCCGAGATCGGAGGCGTAGGCGGACAGGAGCACCGCATGCACCCCCTCGATGTCCCGCTCGACCTGACCGACGCGGCCGCCCTGGTCGTCGTGCGGGCCACCCCCGCCGCCGCGAGCCTGCCCAGTCCACCAGGCGTCGACGGCGCACCAGCCGCACCAGCTGCCAAGGTGGCACACGGCCGAAGGGGCGAAGTATGTGTTTCAAGTGCTCGCGGGCGGACAACATGCTTGAACGATGTAAGACATGGACATCATGTTGCCTCTCCGACATGCTCATATGACACGTCTGACGCTCCTCCTCTTCCTGACAGCATGAAACAAGTCTCCCCGAAGGCACGCCCTCTGTTCAGCAGGGCGCACAGCAGAAACATGCAGGGCTCCATGACGACCCAGAAGACGCCGTTCACCATTCCCCGCGGCTGCCCAGCGCGGGCTGGCTAGCTGGCCAGTTCGGCCGCTAGCGTGGCGCGCGCGGCGAGCTCGCGTTCCCAGCCGAGCGTGCTCTGCAGCGGGCGCGCGGTGGCACGACCGAGCGCGATGCTCACATCCGCGTCCCAGCGGCGCGCCAGCGCGCTCGCGGCAGCCTCCTCTTCATCCTCCTCCTGCTTCTCACTCCCTCCCTCCCTCCTCCCTCCTTCTCTTCCTCCCCCTCCCCACCTCCCGCGGGCGCGCGGCCTCGCCATGCGCAGCTGCCCCGGCGAGCCGGGGCCCGCGGCGCAGCCCAGGTCCGCGGGGCTTTCTGGGCGGCCGCGCGCGGGGCGGACCTCGGCGGGGGGGGGCAGGAGGAGGTTGCGGGGCAGTAGTGAGGCGCCCCGAATCACGGGCACCTTTCCCAGGCAATGGGGGGCAGGAGTAGCATGGGGAGGTGGGGGAGAGGAGAAGGAGGAGGAGGAAGAGGAGCAGGAGAAAGAGGAGGCGGATGAGGAGGATGATGAGGAGGAGGAGGAAGAGGAGGAGAAGAAGGATGAGGCGGCGGAGGAGGCGGAGGAGGTGGAGGAGGAGGAGGAGAAGGAGGAGGCGGCGGAGGAGGCGGAGGCGGAGGCGGAGGCGGAGGAGGAGGAGGAGGAGGAGGAGGAGGAGGAGGAGGAACACCAGGAGAGGAAGGGGGGACGAGGATGGTGAGGGGGAAGGGAAGGACGGAGATGTGGAAGATGGGCGGAGAAAATCAATCCTGGGCAACTGCCCCAAACACAAGCAGCGGCCATGGGCCTGGTTCCCTCGGGGTGGCCCTCGAGGGGCCGCGGCCCTGGCCCGTCAAATCTATGGGAAGGCAACGCCGTTGTTAAGAGACAGTCCTCGAAAGAGAGAGGGCAGGGAGGGAGAGGAGGAGGAGAGAGACGACCGCAGTAAACCAAAGATGTACGAGCGATGCTGCAACACACCCTCCCGTCCCAAGTCCCCTTCTCAAGCGCACTGCAGGTTTTGCTTTTCAATACAAGGAGCGCCACCTCCCGCCCTTGGAAGCCCTTCATTATTTTCGGGAATCGTGGGCATTGTAAAAGAATGGGGAGGTGGGGGGGGTATAATGTGACGCTTCCCCCCAGCCGTGTGGCTCTGGCACCACACCCGGGCCCACTCGCACGACGACGATGAGAGACGAGCGACGAGCGACGACGCCGACGCGAGCAGCATGTAGGTGGCGGCCTGCCCAACAGCGCCTGTGTAAACCACGATGCTCGCGTGCACCACAGCGCGCGTGTACGCCACAGCGCCTGCGTACACCGCAACAGCCGGTGCGACGCAGCGCCTGTGTACACCACAGTGCTTGCGTGCACCACAGCGCTGGTGTACACCACAGCGAATGTGTGCCACCGCAGCAACCATGTCCTTGCTACACAGCGCCTGTGTACACCACCACAGTGCTTGCGTGCACAGCAGCGCATGTGCACATCACGGCGCCTGTTTAAACCACAGCGTGCACGCAGCGCTGGTGTACACCACAGCGCCTGCGTGCACAGGACAGGTAGAACGAGCATGTAGGTGAGGATCTGCTTCGGACAGCTAAAAGCCACGCCAGGGAAAAAAACGGATCATAGAATGCGACGATCTTCTCTTCTCCCTCCTCCTCCTCCTCCTCCTCCTCCTCCTCCTCCCCTTCTTCTCTTCCTCCTCCTCCTCCTCCTCGTCCTCCTCGTCATCCTCCTCCTCCTCCTTCTCCTCCTCCTCCTCCTCCTCCTCCTCCTCCTCTTCCTCCTATGCGGATTCCTATGCGGACTCCGATGCGGATCCCGATGCGCACGGCGGCAGTGCCCGGAGCGCACTGGGAGGGGGAGGGGCGTTACGTTATAGGGGGGGGGGGCGGAGGCTATAATGCCAACTATGCCCATAGCCGTAAAGACGCACGCTCTAATTGTGGCGAGGGCCCCGCTTTGAAAAGAAATCGCCTTGGATCTTAGTGGCGCGTGTTCAGGAGCACGAACGACACTGATCATACAGTCCAGCGAGGTGTCCATCGACACCCCCTTTTCCGAAGAAAGACCGCCCCCCATCCGTGTATATAGAGTTGCCATGAAAACCATGAGCTTCGAGGACGTCTTGGTGCGAAAGCTGCATTTTCAAAAAAGATCCGCCATGGATCCGTATAGCGCTACGTGGCACCGAAGCTTTGGGCCTTGGAGCTTAACGACATTCCAAGGAAGAGCTCTATTTTGAAAAGGAGTAGTTCTCCAGTCTGCGAAACGTTGCATGAAAGAACAGATGCGCGCGGCGTTGAGGTGAGATCCCCGTGTTGAACACCACAAGTGCTCAAGTTTTGGACGGGTAAGTATTTTCAGACAAATGGCTTGCGAGGCTATGGCGAGAATCCAAGTTTAAGAAGAACCCGCCCTCCATTCATGCAGCTAGAACGTTTGAAAAACATGTGTGTGTGTGTGTTTATGTGTGTGTGTGTGGCAGTGTGTGTGTGTGTGGAAGTGTGTGTGTGTGTGTGCGGCGGTCCAGCGAGAACACCAGTCTGAAGATCACCCCCTTCCATCGCAGCAACGGCTGCGGACTTTTAAAACGAATGTTCGCGGCGATGAGGCAAACGCAACATGGCCGACTCCGGAAGCCCTGAACCCAAAAACGTCCTCATCCCTTGGGGACGCATGTTTTACTTCCGCCGCCTTCCGCCCAGCTTCCGCCGAGTTTCCGCTGGCTCCCGCTGGCGGAGGCGGCCTCGTTTTACTTCCGCCGGCCTTCCGCCGCCTTCCGCGGCGGAAGAGATGACAACTCCTTGTCTCCTCGCAGGCCCCCTCCCCAGCCCTGCAATTGCCCCAACAGTTTCATATTTTTTATTTTTAATAAAACAGAAAAAAAACACATAAGAATAACACAACAAAAAACGGCTGCGCGCGGCGCGAAGGCGCGAGCCGTATACTGAACATGGCCCCCCTCCATCTGTGAAGCTGCTGCGGAATTTTGACACGAAGGTGCGCGACGCCCGGGCAAAAACCACACTCAGAAACACTGCCGCCCTCCACCCGTGAATCAGTTGCACATAAAAACGCGTGTGCGAGACGCTCAGACGAGAACCGCATTTGAAAAATAGGTGTGCCCCATCCGTAAAACTGCTGCCAGCTTGTAAAACGACTATGCGCGGCGCTCAAATTATAGCCACCTGAAAGCAAGCGACCTTCGTTTCATCCGTGAATCCTGGAAGCGCTCACAAAGAGTAAGGGTAGGGGGAAAGCTTCTTAGAAGGAGGTTATTTCTTAGACGGCGCCGGGCGTACATCTATAGAGAAGGCCCGCGCCTTCTAAGAAACAGATGGTTTCTAAGAGACTCCCCCCCGCACCCGCTTTTCTTCGTGGCTGAAAAACTGTTGCCTGCGTCAAGCTCCAATTCATAAAGTGGCGAAAAAAAAGGTCCCAAGCGAAACGCCCGGTCCGCCCTACCGATACGTCTGCATACACGACAGGGAAGAAGTACATACATATCTATTCATATATATATATATATAAAGAGAGAGAGAGAGAGAGAGAGAGAGAGGGGGAGAGAGAGAGAGGGATTTAGCCCGCAGATTCCCAAGATCGCCAGGACAAACTTTGATCGTGCCTGGAGCAAGGCGCATCTTCCGAGGCAAGCTGAAAGATGTCGCGCCCAGGAGCGACTCGGAGCTTCCCGAAGCAGCGGCTCTAGTCTGAGAGAACGCTGACAATAGACGGAAAAGCGGAGGCGAAAGGGGGAGAAGAGGGAGCGAGGGAGACTTGAGCAAGTACGTCGACGGTGGGCGTCGGTGCGGCGATCCACGAACTGCCCTGCACATCACTTCTGCTTGTTTAAGCGGCCAGAGGTTTAGCCCGCAGATTCCCAAGATCGCCAGGACAACTTGTGATCGTGTCTGGAGCTAGGCACATCTTTCGAGGCAGGCTGAAAGATGTCGCGCCCAGGCGCGACTCGGAGCTTCCCAGACCTGAACCGACAAAACTGGCCGCAGGCGGAACAAAAACAAGACTCTGTTCTTAAACTCTCAGGACTTAAATCTACTCCACAGAACGACAACTCTCAAAGACTCAGCGGCAGCGATCATGGTGGAGGCGATGGCGCAGCGCAGCTGACGAGGGCAAGCGGCAGCGATGGCAGTCCAATGCTCGCATCCAGTCGCATGCCCCGAGAGCTCCTGATGCGGCAATCCTGTTCTAGAACAAAGATTGCCGCTTGCGTGACGCCAGCGCTGCAGACGAGACAGACAGCCCCCTCGCCACGCTATGATGCGAGTGGCCTTCTTCCAAGAGGTTCCGAACTGACGCTGATGCAATCGGGCCTCCGAGCAGTCGCGAGCACGTCTTACACTCAACATGCGAAGGGCCTCCCACATCAAAGGTCGATCAAGGTTCTCGAGAAGCACGGGAACGCCGATTTTACGACAGCCGTCTATCAGGCGGCATGATACATGGAGCGTTACGTTGCCACTTTTCAAACGAGCAGCCTGAGGAGTTCACGGCCCATGGAAGAGGCAACAGGGCGGAGAGGCTGCCCCAGAGCTTGTGACCATGTCGTGCACGGCGTCCCAAGCCAGACGCCTAACGCAGCGCCAGAGGATATCCATCCTCGCAGCACCCTCTCCACCACGCGCACGAGCAGGTTCCCGCGCGCGCCCGCGTGGATGTCATGCGACGCCACGGCGAGCCCTGCAAGCTTGAGCTGCCGCCCCGCACCAGCTGAGCCTGCGCGCAGCTCCAGGAAGAAACAGCGGCGGCGCCGAGTCGCGTCTCGCAGCGCGGCTCGGAAGTCGCGTCGCAGCCGCCGCGCCGCGCCGTCGGCGGGGCGGCTCAGCGGCGGCGGACCGCCCCGAGGGCGCCCTCTCTGGCGCACGCGGGCCGCTAGCCGCTAGCACGCGGCCGGCCTGCAGCTCGGGGGGCAGGAACTCCGAGGCCCAGCGGGCCCCCCCTCGGCCAGGCGCCTATCCGCAGCTTCGACGGGGCGGGGGCAACGATCCCGCCCAACCGGGCGAGGCCGCGCTCCGCGATCAGCTGGATGCGTTCTGACCCACCACCTCTCCGACTTTGAAGTTGGCAAGCGGGGCAAGGCTGATCGCCCGCGGCAACTTCGACTCCGTGGCGTACCCGGCCATGGAGGAAGCACCTTTCCAGCCGCCCCCCCCCGCGCCTCACCTGCCCGACGGCGGGGCGACGGGTCAGCAAGTCGCCCGACGTGTCGCCGTGTAGATGCGAGCAGAGATGGGGCCCCAGGCTCTCCAGGCTCACGAAAGAGATCGCCATCCACGGGCAGGCGGCGGACCGCGGCAGGGGGCACTTCGTGAAGCTGGGCGCCCGCTGCTTCC